TCGTCGTCTTCGTCGGCGTCGGCGTCGTTGTCGTCGTCGAAAGTCGGGCGGAGGACAGTTGTAGTCGTGCTGGGCAGTCGGTGTCGGTGTAGTACGGTCTTTTAAGATGTTTTGCAACAAAGGTGCGGGTGGGTGGGTTTGGGATGTTTTGCGCGAGCAGTGGAGAGGACAGCTTTCAAGTTGAGCAGTGATTGGATTTCTCCTTCCAAAAAGAGAATAGGACTCTACCCCCCCCGGACGTAACGCTTCCCCCTGGGATAATCTAATTTCGCATATATATACTTATATATATATATATGTATATGTGTATATATATATATATATATATTCTGCACACTCGTCCATCCTACATATGAAATCGTACCATCCCAGGCAGGCCGGTTTCCCCCCTCCTGAGGGCCCCTTGTAAAACAAAAACACTATGCGGTGACATTTTTTGCTTTAACATAGCACTTTTTCGCGAACCCCTTGCAACAAATGGGGCGAAGTGCGCACGCGCGCGTCGTCGCGCGCATATGCCGAAATCCTTCAAAAACCTTCGGTGCCGGAAAGATTTCGCAATCGAGTTTCCAAAAAACATACAAAAACACATGGTTTCGCAACACTGGTTTGCTAAAAAGCTTCCGCGCGAGCTCTTGCGAAATCTCAAGAAAACCATAGGTTTCCCAAGATTTTCACAAAATGCTACCAAACGGGCTTCGCGCGCGCATGTCGAAATCTGTCGAACGCCCTTGCGCGTGTGCCGTAGCGAGAATCCTCTGCAAAGAACGGGACGAAGTGCAGACGCGTGCGTTGTCGCGCCCGTACGCCGAAATCCTTCAACACCCATCGGTTTCGGAAGGATTTCGAAATCGCGCGTCCAAAAAACTACAAAAGCCAAGGTTTCGCAACGCGGATTTTCAACAAAAGCGTGCGCGCGCGCTCTTGCGTCGTCGTCGTCGTCGTCGCCGTCCTCCCTCCTCCCGCGTCGTCGTTGTCGTCGTCGCCTACGTCGTCCTCTGTCTTTCCTCGTGTTCGTCGTCGTCGTCCTCGTTGGCGTCGTGGTCGTTTCCGTCGTCGTTGTCGCCGTGGTCGTCCTTCCTCCTCCTCCTTCGTCGTCGTCGTCGTCCGTCGTCGGCGTCTCGTCGTCGTCCCTCCTATTTCGTCGCCGTCGTCGTCGTCGTCGTCGTCGTTGTCGTCGTCGTCTTCCCTCCTCCCTCGTCGTTGTCGTCGTCGGCGTCGCCGTCCTTCCTCCTTCTTCGTCGTTCGCGTCGTCGCTGTCTTCCCTCATCCATCGTCGTTGTCGTCGTTTGTGCCGTCGTCGTCCTCCCTCTCCATCGTCGTCTCTTCGTTGGACGACGTCGTCGTCGACGGGTCGGTATTTGCGTCGTCGGCTCGGCGGTCGTCGTCGACTTCGTCGTCGTTTGTCGGCGTCGTCGTCGTCGCGCTCGTCGTCGTCGTCTCGTCGTCGGTACGGCGTCGTTTGGTCTGTCGTCGTCGTTGTCGTCGGTCGTCCGTCGTCGTCGTCGGTCGTCGTCGTCGTCGTCGTCGTCGTCGTCGTCCGTCGTCCGTCGTCGTCGTCGTCGTCGTCGTCGTCGTCGTCGTCGTCGTCGTCGTCGTCGTCGTTGTCGGCGTCGTCGAAGTCGTTGGAGACGTCGTCGGTGTCGTCGTAGTCGTTGTCGGCGGCGTCGTCGTCGTTGTCGCTGTCGTCGTCGGCGTCGCTGTCGTTGGCAAGTGCCATTTGGTACCCACCGTCACGGTCTCAAGAGATTTTGCGAACCTAGTTGCGGGTGGGTGGGTGGGATGTTTGCGCGAGCAGTGGAGTGGTCAAGCGCGGTGCAGCCTTTAGATCGTACCACCCCTGGAGTGCCTCTTTCGCCCCCCCCCTCATCCCTGTCAACTACTTCTATGCGCGCGCACTCGTTTATTCCAAATCATCCGTTTTCAAAAATCGCGAGCAACATATGAGACAACGTCCCCACGCGCGCGGCGTCGAGAGCGCATGCCGGAATCCTTCAGAAACCTGCTGCTTCTGAGGATTTCAAGATCGAGGTATCCGAAAACATAATTGGATCATGCCCCCCCGGCCCGATCGCCTTCCCCTAGGATAGTACGGTTTACATATTATTCTGCCCCTATCGTTCTTTAGAGACGCTAATTTATAACATCCCATCCGAATCCCTCGAACGGCTTGTTTTTCAAACATAATGAAATTTCCCAAAACCACCAAAGAAAAATCAATGACACAACATCCACACGCGCGCGGCGTCGCGCGCGCATGCCGGAATCCTTCAAATACCCGAGGATTCGCATGAATTTCAAAATTGAGTTTGCCGACGATGCATGGAAATAAACAAAAAACGACTGGTTCTGCAACATGAGTGTGCGAACAAATATGAGCGCGTTGCGACTTCCTGGGGCAACCATAGTTTTCCATCTTCTCCATCAAGTCGACCTCGCGGGCCTCTCGCGTGCGCATTTCACAATTTTCGAAGGCCTTTGCGCGCTTGCTGGGGGGTGCGCGATCCCTGCCAAATAACATCATGCGGGATGCTCACGCCCGCCGGCCGCGCGCGCGTGTTGAAATCCTTCCAGAGCCTTCACCGCTGACCCGTGGACACCATCGTCATCTGCGCGATCGGCATTTGATCCGTCATCTGCGCGCAAGCAGAACCCAAGGTAACGTCCTTGTCACTGTCTGCGAGGAGTCCGATGCAGAAAGGGCAGGCTGTGGCGGGAGTGTGCGCGCCCACGCTCCAGGAGAGGAAAGAGAGCTCGGGACAGGAAGTGCGAGAGAAGGGGCAAGATCAGTCATCATCGAAACAGGATATCGAAATCAGAATGTGCGTCGGATCGGGCTGAACCAGCACGGAATCGGAATCGAATCGGATGTGCTGCCCCAACAGCGCCATGCGAACATGCGGCCGCATAGAGTCGTTGGAACATCGGAATCGAGTCGGATCGGGCAAACCGGAATCCATATCGCATCGCATCGATCGGATCGAAATAGACACTGAAGAGGGGGGGGGATTGGACGAGCAAGCGGAAGAGGGAAGACACTTGGGGGTATGGCTTGACTTTCCACGCACGTCACAAGATCGCTTGGACACCTCAGGAGGATATTATGGTTGGTGCGCTTGCAAGGTTTACTGGCGTTGTGGTACCAAACATTGAACCTATGGATCTTGTCCTGATCCTGATTATATGGTAGTGCCCGTTGTAGTTCCTGAGCTTCTCCAACCTAAGGTCACTTGGTCATTCCGAAGATATCGCATGCTTGTAACAAACAATCTCTTCCTCGCTGTAGTCTAACTTGCCTGCATGGTCTCCTCTCGTATCCTGCAACAACTGCTCCGGGGTATATTTCGACGTCGTACTCTTCGACGGACGTCGTATATAAGGCACCGCTGGACTTGTAAGAGGATTTCGATGTCGGACGTGGATCGCTGAAACGCGCTCCGCTATCACAAAACGAAACAACACGGCCTAGGCGATACACGCTACTGGCTCTGCCGTGCGTCGCAGGCGGCGCTTCAGGCTCTCCTCCGTCGTGCCTCGGAGTCCGCTCGAAGCGAGGAGAGGGGGGCTGGAGACGAGAGGAGCACAATCCAGGGGAGAGAAGGGAGATGCAGGGATGGAGAGGAGAAGTGGGGGGTGGCTGGGCAAGTGGAGGGTGCAGTTGTGGCGCTGCCAGGGGGAGCGCCGAATAGAAGGAACGAAAGGCCTTCTCTGGCCGCGGCGGGCCTCGGCCACGGAGAGGTTCCCCGGCCTACAGGGCAATTTTTAATACATAGGATTTTTGAAAATATAGGATTTTTAATACATGACTAAATGTATGAATAAATTTATGCATGAACTCATCCTTGCTTTTAGAGCAAAATCCTTGCATTTTTCATACATGATCCGCACGCGGAGCATGTAACAAAAACGGCACTGTATGGCCAGGGAATGGCCAGCAAACTTTAGCCCCTCCTGGGCCCAGGGCGGTCCTTGATCTGGTGCTCTGACTGTACAGTCAGCCCGTACCACGAGGATGCGCGGTGAGGATGCAAGGGCCTCGGGGGGGGTCAAGTTGACGCTTTTCGAACGAGGCTGGCCCGAGAGAGTCGCCAAGGATGGGCCGAAGGGGCAAGGATGGGCACTCTTGGGGAAGGTTGCCCATCCCTACTATGCGGGTCGACTGTGCCAGTGAGGTGTCGAAGAGCGAATGGGCACTGTTGCAGCCGCGCGCGCAAATGTCGTTTGCTGATGCATGGGCCTGGGGAGGCGCACATCCCGACGAAGGTCACCACATCCAAACGTTCGGGACCCCTCAGAGAAGGTGGCTCTTACGCGTAGCCGGCCGCTCTTTGCCTGCGCTCGAGTGCCCTGAGTGCGCATCGAGCTTCATTTCTGCGCATCGAGCGCCGTGCCTGCGCATCGAGCGCCTGGCCCTTCGGCGGCTGCCTCGAGCCCACGGGAGTCCCTACGGTAAGTTCACGTTGCGATGACGCCGGCGTTGGTTTCTGACGCCGCGTGGACCGTTTAACCTCGAGCGATCGCGGTTTCCCGACAGCTCAAACTGTTTGGTATCGGCCCGTTCTGGGGAACTGGCGGCGTTCCACTTCGAACGCCTGCGCTGAGGTCACTGCCGCGTCGATACGGCAAGAACCTACCGTACCCGGTGTCCCAGACCTCTGACGTCGTCTTCTGTGTTTCACAGAGTGGACCCCCTGAGGTCTGGACCTTTCCCTCCTTCGGCTACATGCAAGAGTGACCCTGGGTAAGAGTGACCTTTGGTGCGCGGCTTTTTGGGGGGCGCGGGGAGACCAAACCTGGGCGCGCAAGCCGCTGCTACCACTTCGTTTTCAGCCATCTGGGGGCCCATCTGTGCCCGCACCAAAGGTCACTCCGGCGAAAGGTCACTCCTACGTCTAGTCGACTCCTGACGGTCCTGGGGCCCAGTGAGGGCCTCTGGAAGCAGAGCAAACTGCAAAAAAAACGCTCGGTCCTCCGGACAACGACAGGAGGTCTGAGTAGGC